ATGTTTAAGTTTTTCCGACTTCCTACTACGTTTTCCAGAAAGTTTGAGCTGGGGGAAGAGGGTGTCATCAATAAAATCCCGAAATATAATATTTGAAACAGTGGTTATATAGTGAGTTGTGATTTTGCGGCACCATCAACAGGTGGAGAGTAGGGGGGAGAAACAGCGCACATGAATGGCAAAAATCGGGGAATTCAACAAACGGACGAACTTTTCCTGCGCTCCCAAGGCTAGATAGGAACACCATCGAACGGTTACAACCCCTTTTTAGCGCGACCAACGGCGACCTCCACCCCATCCCCGCCCTCCATGCCGATGGGAACTTAGCAGCGATGACGGACTCTGTAGAGGAGGCGCTGTGCTGTTCGGTGATGATTGACCTGTTACGGCTCCCTTCCCAGTACTCCTGAACGGAAGCTGTGACCCACAAAACCACCTATTGTTCAATAGGATAGGATTCAACAATTCGTTAGAGCCTTTTTATTTTCGCAAACTCAAGGATAGCCCAAGAGTCCAGTAGTGACTTACCTTATTGATCCTCATCAAAATTTCGAAGGTGATCACCGCCGTGACTTGAAGGAGTAACAGGAACGAAATCGATCCCATGACGAGTGCAAATGGGGAAAGGCTTGTGATCAGGCAGTACGTCATCATCTTATCATAATCTAACTCTATGTATACGATGTACATGAACGTAGCTCCAGCTACGATCTGAAAAGGATACATACTAGCATCCATTTAGCTAACGAATTTTATTTATTTATTTATTTATTTATTTATTTCCATACACTCGAGGTGCGCCCATAAAAACTAAAAAAATACACCGGGAAAGGACCATGGCAGAAACTACAGATGGGCTCGACGCGTTAAAGGAACCAAGAACCTGACATCCGATAAACAAACACGAGTAGTTGCCGTAAATGTCGTCATAACACCGTTGAATTGAATCTCGTTTCCGCTCTGGACGCTTGGGAGTGTCAGGAGGGGGTGGGGGTTCAGCCAGGCCGCTCTCCATCAATTGTTGAACCGGACAAGCGACAACAATGGCTGGGAACCGCGCCAAACTGAGATCCCGATACGCCCCACCGTTTACAGCGAAAAGGCCTGAATACTCTGTGTAATATGAAAAGACTGAGTTTATTTTCTTGTTCTGACAGTTTAAAGGCAGAGCCCGCGATCATTCGCCATCACAGATAGTGGATTAGGGTTTGCATATAGACGACAAGGTTCTGAGTAACTCGATAGTGAAGAAAAAAAAACAGAAAAACATGCCAACTACCCTAGATAGAACCCCATTTGATCCTACGTGCCCAATGAACACCATTTCTAATACTACGCACTATCCGCACAGCTGATTCCCCAATAAGAAGTACACGACCGTAAAAGTGACGATTTTAACGGTTTTTCGTCCTGCGCTTCGTTTTTCCCTAAAAGGCAGGCTTTGAAGGGGGAGTCTGGAGGCGGAGTCACTTGAGGAAAGGAGCGTCACTGGAACGAACTACTATATATAAACGGCGACGTCTGTCTGTCTGTCTGTCTGTCTGTCTGTCTGTCTGTCTGTCTGTCCGGAAATTCGGAACTACCTGAAGAGCCAGTCTCAGGGGGCGGGTCAAGGTTGGGATGGGTAGGGCATGGGCCAAGATGTACGAAACACACGTGAACTAGGCTAAGCCCCGCCCACTGTGGGCGGCGCGTGCGCATAGTTGTGAGCTTCATATTTCAAAAATTCGTAGTTCGGTTCCAAAAAAGCCCCGAGAGCGGAGAAAAGTGGCAAACGATAGGCAATTAGTTCGTGGACGAAATGACTGAAACAAACCCATTTTGGGCGGGGCGTTCTACAGATGGGCGGTGCTTGCTTCGAGATTTTCAAAAATTCCCAGTTCGGTTCCAAAAGAGCCCCGAGAGCGGAAAAAGTGGCAAACGATAGGCAATCAGTTCGCGGACGAAATGACTGAAACAAACCCATTCTGTGCAGGGCGTTCTGTAGGTAAGCGGTGCCTGCTACGAAACTTTCAAAAATTCGTAGTTGGGTTCCAAAAAAGCTCGGAGAGTGGGAGAAGTGGCAAACGATAGGCAATCAGTTGGCGGACGGAATTAATGAAGCACACCCGTGATGGGCGGAGCGTTCGCCGAAGTGGACGATGCCGAGGACGAAAACCCTCGAAACGCATCCGAAAAAACCCCACGAAATGGGGAGTGAGCTGAAACTAAACAGTGGTATGGCAGATGAACATAGTGAGGGGATAATCGTAGGGAGTATCCAAATGGTTTGGTACCGTCGGCAATAGTTTGCAGTGCCGCATAGAAAATTTTGATGGCTGTCTACTAGGGGGGTATATACTAGAAGTGAAACGGTAAAGTGCGGTAATTCTCAAAATAATATTTCTTTCGACCATTCGTCCGACTGGCCCTCCCTCACATGGAAAACTTCTCACAGGGACCCACTTCACACGCGGAAGGAGGATCGGCCGGCGAAGCCGGCCGATCCGACTGGCCCTTGGAAAACTTCTCACAGGGACCCACTTCACACGCGGAAGGAGGATCGGCCGGCGAAGCCGGCCGATCCGACTGGTATTATATACGCGCTCCTTTGCAATTTTTTTCTGCGAAGACTGAATAGCACAGGTTATTCGTCCGTGGACGACACACTACCCTCCCGTTGCCAATATTTCAACTTCTTATGCCTTATCGCTGACCATCTTTTCGCCCTACGCACATTCGACTAATGTAGGCAACACGCCTTTCGTATTTTTGGGTTATAGAGAGTATTTCAGCCCAGAAGGTTCAAAATGTTCAACTTTCTGATTCGCAGCATTATAAACACCTCTTTATTTCTTTCCATTTCATGAGCACTGATTTCATTTCTGATGAATTTTTTTCAACGCCTGAAATTGATATTTCTGTACAACAGACATCCCACTGACCTGTATGGCAACCAGCACGGTCCAACTACCCGATTCTTGCCATAACTGCTCAGTCTTCGTGTAGCAATGCACCTGTAATCCACAGTTTATTGCGGTGGAGTTCGGAGACAGGGGAGGGGGGGGGGGAAGGGTATTTTTGCAATTTTGGTACTCCCGATCGACGTGTCGGAGCCGCATCTAAGAGAGCCTTTCTTCTTGAGCTAACAGGTTTTACCACGATAGCTCGACGAGCTTGCTCCAGCTTCACAAGTGTTCACAGGTTTCACGACAACGAGAGTTGTAAACCGGAACAGTGAAGCATGAGAGTGCAAATCCCCCCGTCGCTGAACTGCGCCGTTAACCACTGCCTTGAGCAGATCACGTGCTTATAGTTATGTAGTTTTCTACTGAACTTACCTTTCAACAGACAACATGAAAGTGCTGGAATATGCCAAATACATTGTGAGATTTATCGGTGTTCGGACAAATATGCATCGTGTAGTACTGAACAGTTTACAGTCGCCCGGTGATGCCGTGAGAAATGTGGACAGATCCCAGACGT